AGATTCCCTTCCCCCCAACACACACACACACACACACACACACACACACACACACACACACACACCCCACTTCTTTGTTTTCCAGGACTGCAGTTGACAGCAGCTCGGATTTGTGCTTAAGAACGAGCCATGGCCCCGCCCCTAGTGTCTGATTGGCTATTCCCGGAATTAACCCATCACTCTGATTTGTTGCACAAAACAAGCAGATATCCTAAAGACCAATCAGATCGCCTCTGACATGCACCACCCGATGGTGTATAGAGGTCCCTGCCTCACTTCTGGGGGCAGAAAATACTCTTGTGTTTTGATATGAGCATAAACACTGGTGGTAACATAAATGACTGTCATTTCACTTGTCGGATCATGATCTGCCTGATGGGAACAGGGACCCAAGAACCTCTCCTGGTTAAGTAGACTTTTTCATCCTTGGCTCTTTCGCAGTGTAGCGTGAGAAACTCGGAGAGCGCCCTGAAGGCTGTGGCATCAGGGGGTGTGCCCCAGCCTGGATCATGATTCTAGAATGTTCTCTCACGTTAAAACTCTGAGAACATAGAGTCTTAAACCTGCTATCTACCTATTACCAGTCAGTTACTGAAGGAGAGACCCCAGCTGCATTCTCTGGGACTAAAGGATACTTCTCTCCTCCCCAAAATACAAAGGGTTTATGTTCTGGGTGGGGGCACTTTGCTAGGAGTGTCACTCCCAGCCGTGTCTGGGGGAGGATGCGGTACAGGGACTGGATCCAGGCTTCCCACATGCTTTGCCTGTAATCAACACACTGAGCTCTCTCTTTCTCAGGCTCTATGCAAAGGATTTCTTAAGATAAACAGATTATGAAAAGTACAATATTTTGTTATTAAAATAAAGATGAGCTTTTAGTTTTGTGGGAGTTTTTTTTTTTTTTGCCCTGGTAATGAGGTGGTTTCTGATCCCGCTCTTCATTTTGGGACAGGGACCACCCCGACTTTTTCAGAAACCAACACCATCCTCCCCTCACATCTGCAAAGCACAGAGACTTGGGGAAGGGGGCTGATGTCCCAACCTGGGTGCTGTGTCATACAGGTCCTACAGGGACTTGATCTGAGGGCTTGGGGGTGCCTCGGGAGGTCCCTGATCCCTGGTCTGTTTGGGAATCCCCTGTCTACTCAAGATGCAATTTGGAATTTTCAAGGCCTGCTTGGCCTGTCCCCCATCCCTAAGTGTGAGTGTGTCCGGGATGTCTGGGGAGGCACCACCTCTTTCTGAGGCTCCTTTCTAGGGGATGCTGATTCTCAGGCTCGGGTGAGGGGGACCCCCACTCCTTCAATTCTGCCTGCATATACTGCACCCCAGTCCCGCTGCTGCCAGGGAGTTTAAATCAGCTCGGATTTAGCAATCAGTGCATCTAAACACACAGCCACCATCTCCTCTGTTGACAAACCCCGTTCCTTCAGAAAAAGGATTTCCAAAACTGAGCAGTTCATAGCTCAAAAGAGATTTTTTTTCCTTTCCAAATACAAAGTAGATGAATCTTTTAAAAATCCATGAGGACAAAACAGCCAGCCAGCAAGAAAGGAAGATGGACCTCAGTGGGATCTTTACAGGCAGAACCAAGAAGCTCCCAGCAGGGGGCCCCCAAAGCCCCACTCAGGCATCTGGACTGATGAGAACTGAGATAACGAAAACTCTCACCTTCACAGAGTCACTGGGCTCCCACGACGTTCGTCTTCCCAGAAAGCGAGAGTTCTCGCCAACATTGCTTTCTCATCAAGAAGAGAGGCACGGACCTGATGCCCATGTATTGGTGAGTGCCCCGGAAACCAGCCCCATGGAAACGCACAGTCACACACACACACACTCACTAATACCACACACTCATACCCACATATGCTCACACATGCAGTCATGCACATGATTACATACATATACACACACTAAGACAACACACGCATACAAATACTCCCTAATGCAACACATCCCTAATGCAATACATGTATTCACATGCTCACACTCAACATTCATGCATGTCCTTATACACATATACACACACTAAGACGACAAACGCATACACTCACATGCTCACATGCGTATATACATTTACACACATACAGACTTGCTCACACATATTCACATGCTTACATATATACACAAATACAATACATGCACACATACACTCATGCTCACATTCATGCGTGTAGTTATATATACTTACACACACTAATACAACACATGCATATATACTCACATGCTCACACTCACACACATTCACGTGCTTACATGCATATACACTAATACACACACATACATGCACTCACACACATGCAGGCATACATGCACACACACACATACATGCATACTGTTGGGCTCCATGGCAGCCCCAGCTCACACTGCTTGCATGGGACCCCGGGGGCAGTGAGCAGAGGGTCAGTCCCAGGTCAGCACGCCAGCTCTTTGGGGGGCCCGGGGAGTGTTTGTGTCTGTGATCTTGGCTTGGGTGGAATAAAAGCTGGAACACTGTGCAGGATCTGGGTGTGTGGGGGGCGTGGGGCCCTCAGCTCCTGGGTTCCCCCTACAGTAACCCGCTTGAAAGGGGGTTCATAGATCCAAGGTAGGATGAAAGGGGAGTGAGCGGCCACACCAGGCACAAGAAGCTACATGCCAGGCCATGTGCCCCGCTGAAGACTCCCGATGAGACTGCAAAGGAAACCGGTGGCACCTCCAGATTCCCAGAGCAGGCAGGGCCTTGCCTTCCAGAGCCCTGGCGTGCCCCCACCCAAGGGCCCAAATACACCACCCACCCAGAAACTGGCCAGCGGGGAAACTTCCCGGATAGGAATTCCCAGACAGAAAGGAATGGGGCCCGCCCCCCTGCACAGCTCGGGACACCATGGCATCCGCCTCCTCTCCTCAGTCAGGCAAGGACCCACTCTCATCTCCATCCACATCTGGATCTGCAATTCTGAGAGAGACAGGGGAGACGGGGGCCAGCCAGGCGGGGACCCCCACTTACCCCTCTCACATCAGTCATCCTGCACTCCATCTGCTTCCTCCACCTCCAGTCGCTCTGCGGCCTATCCCCACCTTTGTGTGTGTGTGTGTGTGTGTGTGTATGTGTGTGTCAGGCTTGTACGCACATGTGCACACACACATCACGTGCACATACACATGCACGCACACAAGCACATATGCAAAGCACGTGTGCAAACACTCTCCGGCACATACGCACGTGCGCAAATACACGTTCAAGCACGTACACATGTGAGTACACAGGATGCCCGCAGGCACGCATGCCCGCATACATGCATGCACACTCAGACGCAGAGCTGAGGCGACGCTCTGGAGACAGAACCCAACATCTGAGAGTAGCCACTGTGGCACAGCCCTCGTGGCGCTCTGCACCCGTGGCAACTGTTCAAACCCAGAGTCATGGTCACAGTCCTTGCCAGCTCCCCGGGACGCAGAATGATCACACTTGGAGCCTAGAGGGCCATTATATATTACAACTGTATTTATACGAAAGTAATGAAAATATCAATTTTCTTTTTTTTAAAAAATGTTATGCAAAAAAGCAAATTATATGGCAGCAATATTGTTTTTGAAAAAAAAAAAACAAACACAGAAAGATAGACGCTCCCACGCCCCACCTCCAGTGGGGTTTCTCCCTCCCCGAGGGACCCCCCCCTCCCCCGGGCTGCTTTTCCCAAGGAAGGGCTGAAGTTCCAGATCTGGGCGGGGCAGCGCTAAGTGGGAGGGCTTCGGGTAGCCCTGGGGGAGTCACCTCCCCTCTCTGAGCCTCAGTCTTTTCTCCTGTGAAGTGGGAGTGTGGCAAAGGCCCCATCTCCACCCCTCCAGGCCAGCGGAGCTCAGGCATGGCCACCCCGGCTAGGCCAGGGGCCCCATATGCCTGGACAGCGACCAGCAGGTCTGGGGTCTGGGTTCGTCCTTCTGCAGACCTGCCCCAGAAGGCTCCCTGACTCCAGGTAGGGTGGAGGGCCCTGGGATGCCCTGGGATGGTGGAGGGCCAGCCAGGTGGGGACCGGGCCTTCCTTTCTGCTGTAATAATGACTCCAGTGGCCAATAGAAGGCCTTGTGGGTCCACTTGTAGCGGAACCTTTTCTTTAAAAAAAAAAATGTGGCCTCCGTATCGGCAGGACAGGATCCTGGTGCCAACCCCGGGAGCACCCCCGACTTCCCAGGGATGGGGGCAGAGTTACCTGGCCCCTCCCTGTGGGAATCCAGCCTGCAGCAGAGGTCCTGGTGTGCAGGGAGACATCTGTGGCCCCTCGGGACTTGTGGGGGACATTTCAGAGGACCCGCCTCTTTCCACAGTCCCTCTGAGGGGAGGAGGGGCAGAAGAAGCTTTGTCCACAGACCCTGACCCAACATGGCCGGTGCCCCCAGCCCAGCTATGAACCCAAAAGCCATGCACCGGGAATGTCCTCCCATTGGCATGGGTGGTTGAGGGGCATTTTGGAGAGCGGTTGCCTCTCCGTCAGGGCACACAGAGGGGATGGTACAGTCCCGAGGCCTGGGGGTGACCAGAGATGGTCCTTACTGACCTGTCCCGTCAGAGCCGAGCGGCGTGCGGGGGAGGGGGGTGCCCATAATCCCAGCCCCGAGCCTGCTCGCTGGTCTGAGCCTGCCCAAAGTGAAACGGGCGCCCTGGAGGTCTTCTCTCCGGCACAGGTCGGAGCGTGGATGGTGGTGGTGGGGTCTGGGCCAAGAGGTGGTTACAGAAGGGACGCGACTCTCCCTGCTGCCCTGCTGACCACAGACCAAGGCAAAAGTGCGAGGAACCCTGAGGGTTGGCGAGGTGGCAGGAGGCGGCAGAGCCCCCAGTTCCAGAGAGGATGCGGCGGCCGCTCCGCATCCAGCATCCGCGTGCACGCGGCGCATCCATCCGCATCCGGCATCCGTGCGCATCCGTCGGCGCACGCGGTCCGCGCGGGCAGCATCGGTGGGCGAGAGGACGGGCCGCGGGTCTGTGGCGGGCGTCGGGGCAGGCGGGCGGGCAGGCGATGCGGGCACGGGCTCTAGGTGGGCGGGGGTCCGCTGTAGCGGAGCATGAGCCGGAAGGAGCGCGCAAAGTTGTTGGCCCGCGCGCAGCTGCGACGCTCGTCCCCGGCCGGCAGCAGCAGCAGCAGCAGCAGGAAGAACAGCAGGAGCAGCTGCAGGGGCAACGCTGTGCACCACACGCGCTGCGAGAAGGAGCCGACGCCTCGCGGCCGCCGCGCCTGCAGGACGAAATAGCGGGGTGAGCGCACGCGCGCACTGGGGATCCCCGGGCAGCGCGCCCCGCCTGGAACGGGTGATGCTCTAGGTCGGATTTCTGCATCGTTGTGAGGGGTGTGTGCGGGGGGAGGAACGTGTAGTTTCCGGGTGCTGGTGACGTTTTCTGGTAACCCGCCCTTGGTGTGGAGTCAGTGTGGGGTCCTGGCATATAGGAGGTACTGGACGCTGCTGCCACCACGCTGGGCATCCGTGGCCTCTTGCAGGGACTCAGGTTCCCCAGCGAGCACCTGCACCCACCCCCGGGCCCGCGCCCACGTGCTCCCGGCTTCACGCTTTCCCTCCTCCTCACAGCCTGGTGAAGCTCAACGGAAGGTCAGCCTCCCAAGCCCAAAGGCCTAATGGGCTTGGCTGTAGTGGGCTGGACTGCCCCACTGTCTTGAGGGTCCAGCTGGGCTGTGGCTGCAATCAATGCAGGGACAGAGGTGATTGCTTAGAGAAAGGGGGTGCAGCATGAACAGGGTGTGAGACGGGACAGGGCATGGTGTGGACTTAAGGGTCACAGGACACTGCATGGGAGCTGGGGTGCAGCATGAACAGGGTTTGAGACGGGACAGGGCATGGTGTGGACTCAAGGGTCACAGGACACTGCATGGGAGCCGGGAGGCCTGATCTGCGGTACCCCTCAGTGTGCAGTGCACTCGGAGGGCCTCCTCCAGAGCCCCTGATGCTACTCTCAAGTGACAATGATGGTGATGGGGATGGGCGTGGGGGTAGCCATGACAGCGCTGAGGTTGGCAAGGATGGTGATGAGGATGAAGGGAATGATGAGGATATACGGAGTATAGGGGGCTGAAGTGATAGCACAAGCGGGTAGGGCATTTGCCTTACACACGGCTGACCGGGCTGACCCGGGTTTGATTCCTCCACCCCTCTCAGAGAGCCCGGCAACCTACTAAGAGTATCTCGCCCGTGTGGCAAAGCCTGGCAAGCTACCCGTGTCGTATTGAATATGCCAAACACAGCAACAACAAAGTCTTACAATGGAGACGTTACTGGGCCCGCTCGAGCAAATCGATGAACAACGGGAGGACAGTGACAGAGATAGTGACAGGGGGCGCCTTCGGCAATGGTGATGGCAGTGAAGGTGAAGACAAAGGGCTGGTGGAGGTGATGGTGGCAAGGATACTGATGGGGACTGTGCTGGTGAGGAGAGGTAATGGCAGGGCCAGGGCTTGCAGACACGGTAACATGGGGCCCGCAGGAACTGCCTGCATGTAGACAAGGCTTCCGGGATGCACAGCATCCTGCACACAGAAAGATGGTGGGGACGGGGAGTGGGCACAAGATTGTGTCGGTGATGAAGACCAAGAGGGCATTGGGGGAGGTGGTGATGGAGAGATAGCGGAGCCCCTGTCAGAGATTACCATGGAGAGAGTGATGATGATAAGGGTAATGGGGGTGATGGCAATGGTGGTGGTGGCGGTATAGGTAATGGCCCGCACTGCTGGTGAGGATGTGGGGGTAATGCGAGTGATGGTGGCGTAGATGGTACAGATGGTACAGATGGTGTTTTTTTGATTTTTTTTGCTTTTTGGGTCACAACTGGTGATGCACAGGGGTTACTCCTGGCTCTGCACTCAGAAGTTACTCCTGGCAGTGCTCGGGGGACCATATGGGATGCTGGGAATCGAACTCGGGTCACCCGCGTGCAAGGCAAACGCCCTCCCTGCTCTACTATCATTCCAGCCCCCAGATGGTGGTGTTGATGGTAGAGATGGTGGTGTTGATGGTAAGGATAATGGTAATCGTAGGGGGCCAGGGGTTGAGGGAGGTTCTGGCCAGGGCCCTGCATGACCTCTCATACCTCATCTAATCTTGTGCCCCCACCATCTCCCACAGACCGACAGCTTCAGCCTCTAATGCTTCCACACAGCATGGCCCTTACATGCTGATCTTGGGAAACACCCATTGAACCCTCACAGCAGTCACTCCTGGCTGCATCGATTTCAGCAGTGGCCCCAGGAGAAAGGGCTGAGGTGGCAGCAGCATGGAAGGCACATCAAGGCCACTTCCCGCTACCCCCCCCTGCATGGACTTAGGGAGCTCCCTGTGGCCCTACACCCGGGTGGGTCCCATATGGACTTAGGGGGCTCCCACCCTTCTCCGCCTGCATTTGGTGGGTCCCACATGGACTAAGGGGAGGGTCCCCCTGCCTCCCTCGGCACCCACAGCCAAGCAAATCACATGTGGACTCAGAGCCCCCCACCCCCCCAAGGGGCTACTCGACCCACTCAGGAGACAGGAAGAATACACCCCCCCCCTCCCACCAACACACACACACACACACACACATCCCTTATAGAAGAAGCAAGGACAGTCTGGCCCTTCCAGGGGAAACACCCTTCGAGGTCCCCAGGCTGGGCATCAGGATCTGGTAGGTACTGCCAGACCATGCTGCTGTGGGGGGAATGAGGTTGCAGTGAAACCCTCAGGCCCCAGGGAGATGACCTGCGACCCCCCTCCCCCAGGCCCTACACTAGAGTCCCTGGTTATCAGTGAAAGGAAAGGCATTCTCCGTTCTCTCTGCCACCTGGGCTGACAGTCTGACCAGCCACACCAGCCGGTGCCCGGGGGACCTTGGCACTGCCCTGGGCGCCCCTGCAGGATGGCGGCCCAGCGAAGCCATCCTCCTGCTAGAACTCCGTGTAAGGCGTGTCCCTGAGTTCCGAGGCCATCGCGACAGGAAGAGCAGTTACAGGTCCCGAGTCTGCGCCCCGCAGGCTGGCAGAACCGACGGTTCCGCACAGGCCCGTGTAGGCAGCTGCAGACTGAATCTGGATTATTCCGTGTATGCAAACGCGTGGGATGAAGCAAGAACATAGCTGGAGTTCTCAATGGCTGGCTGCCCAGGGAGCAGAAAGCCTGCAGTACCCACTGCTCGTTAGCAATTAGCGAGGGTGAGTGGCCCGCACGCCCCCTCTCCAGCCCTTTCAGCTCCGGACTGAAAATAATATACGGAATGTACTTAAATTGGCAAGATTACGGCCTCTGCAGACAAGCACCTACGCTCGACCCGGGAGGCCCGCGGGCGCTGTGCAAACAACCAAGTGGGCGCTTATGTTTTTGTGCATGCGCACATCTGAGCCAGCGCAAACACAGGTGAGTGCTTATGGCTACACAGGAGCGCATGTCCCATCCCAGGCAAACACCTGCCGGTGCTTCTACCTATGCGCATGCGCACGTCCTGTCCAGGGCAAACACCTGTAGGCGCTCCGTCCTGTGCGCATGCGCACGTCCCATCCTCTGCAACTACCGGGACACCGAGCACACTCGGCCCCCAGCTGCATCCCCTTTGCTCTCAAAAGCAACAGCAGGGTCGAGTCTCCGGGTCGTCCGTGGCAGGGCAGGGGTGAAAGTACTATGCACTGATACAAACCTGGCCTTGCGACTCGCCCTGGGGCCCTGTACACACCAGTGGGGGACCGGGGTTCAAATCCCAGTGACAACAGCGGTGGTTCTCAAGGTGTGGCCCCCGCCCACAGCCTTAGCAGCCCTGGGAATCTTGCTAGAAAGGCAGGTGCTAGACCACCCCCGGCTTGGATGAACCCTGAACCCAGGCGGTTGGGCTGAGCCCTGGGTCTGATCTGCGCTTTGGACAAACAGGTCTGGTGCCGGTTCCTGGGGCTGGTGGTCAGGGGCCTTCCACACCAGCCAGCACCCAGATCCTGGGTCTTCCTAGAGGAGCCCCACAAGCTGATTTCTTTAGCCAGGGATGCTGTCCTGCTCTGTGCAGGCCGGGGAAAGGTGCTCATATGGGCCTCAGACACCAGGGACCCCCCAGAAGCTAATGAAGACCCCACGCTGAGGCTGCCCCAGCACCCTCAGAGCTAGAGACTCCATGCAGTGCTGAGCAACACCCCCACATATGTGACCCCCTCACTCCCACAATTGGGCTGTAGAACCAGCCGGATATGGTTCTGCTCCCTGATAAACACACCTGCCCCAAACAGTGCTGGAGAGACAAGAGAAGACATTTGTGGGTGGACAGGTAGGTGAGTGAATAGATGGAGAGATGGGTGGACAGAAGGTTGGGTGAATGGAAGTGTGGATGGACAAATGAATAGGTGGATGGACAGAAAATGGATGAGTAGATGGATGGACAAATGGATGGATACCCAGATGGATGCATGGATGGATTGACAGAGAGATGGATGAAGGGTAGACCCAGGGCTTTGAACACCCTTCACAGACCCCTTCCAGGCTACCCAGACCCCGAGCCTGTCCCAGTGGCTGCAGAAAATGGGACGTGCGCAGTGGCCAGTGTCCACTGTCCAGGCTTCCTCCATCTCTGAGATATTCCCTGAGCCCCAACCAGGGCGGGGCTTGGGGCATGGGGGCTCGAGGCAAGTGGACACTTGGTCCTGGACCCCACGTTCCCCCAGGAACCCCAAGGTTGATCCTCGGGGGAAGGACAGGGCACTGAGCACCCGTGGGACCTGCACATGTGGCAATGCCCAGGCTGGAAGAACCACACGGCAGCGCCAGGGCACAGGCGGGGAGGCCACGTCCCAACAGGCAGAGGAGCTGGCCAGGCCAGAGCTTCCTATGAGCACCCTCCTAGCCCAGGAGATGCGACACACCAGCACCCAATGCACCCGGGGAAGAAGTCCTTTAGTCAGAGGACAGAGACCCCACAGGGGCCCGACCCTGCTGTGTGAGCCATTCCCAGGCCCCACAGAGGCTGGACTCTGTGTGAGACCCCACAGGGCCGGATTCGGCCATGTGAGTCATTCTAAGGCTCCTTTCCCAGCTTCCGGGGGCTGAAGGCAGAGGTCAGAGTGCTGTCAGTGCTGGCGACTTAGTGCTGGTTACTATTAAATGGGGCTACTGTCAATGCAGGGGCACTTTAGTGCTGGGAGTCCTTTAGAGCTGGGGGTCCTTTAGAGCTGGGGGACCTTTAGTGCTGGAGGTCCTTTACAGCTGGGGGTCCTTTAGGGCTGGGGGTCCTTTAGTGCCGGGGGTCCTTTAGTGTCGGGGGACCTTTAGTGCTGGGAGTCCTTTAGTACTGGGGGTCCTTCAGAGCCGGGGGTCCTTTAGTGCTGGGGTTCCGTTAGTGCCGGGGGCCCTTTAGTACTGGGGAACCTTTAGTGCTGGGGGTCTTTTAGAGCTGGGGGTCCTTTGGAGCTGGGGGTCCTCTAGTGCTGGGGGACCTCTAGTGCTGGGGGTCCTTTAATGCTGGGGGTTCTTTAGAGCTGGGGACCTTTAGAGCCGGGGGTCTTTTAGAGCTGGGGGTCCTTTAGTGCTGGGGGTTCTTTAGAGCTGGGGGTCCTTTAGAGCTGGGGGTCCTTTGGTGCTGGGAGCCTGCTAGAGCTGGCAACTGTTGGTCTCTTCCCTCTGGGAGCTTGTGCTTGGGCTCTGGTGCAGACGTCTGTACCCCACCACCTGCCTCTTCCTCCCCACTGAACCCCAGAACCACGCCCTGCCCTGGGTCTGCCTGGGGCAGCCTGGGACCCACTATACCAACAGGACCTTGTGTAGGACCCGAGGCCCCGGCCTCTCCTGTCGCCTCCACGCACTCTGGACTCCCCGGCTGATCCCACCAATGTTCCTAGACGTCCCGAAACCTTCCAGAAAGCCCAAGGCGTCCTGCCCAGCAACCCTCCGACGCCCACCCGAGCTGGCGAGCAGACAGCACACACATACCTTCTGCGTCTCCTGGAATCCGGACGGCTGCCCTGGAGGAGTCTGCGTCTGTTATTTTAGGGAAGGAGAGGAAAAGGGGGGCCGTGAGGCGAGGGGGCCGGTCCCCGCAGAGCCGTAATGGAATATTCATGTGCTGAGGGATCTTTCCCCTCTGCTCTGTGCGCGTGCCACAGGTCCAGCCAGCAGGTACCGTTTTAATGAGCGTCCCTGCTGGGCAGGCCAGGTGGGCCCCGTCCTGGAAGGTGGCTGGGCTGAGGGACTGTCCCCCTGGCTGGGGCCGAGCTGACACCTAGTGGCCGATGAAGGCCAAGCAAGAAGGCTATACCCAAGCTTCAGGGTTGGGACTGGGGTCATGGGGAGGGGGGGCCTAGCCTTGGAGGGGGGGTTCCTTGGGGATCACGCCCCTTCTGTGCCTCAGTGTCCCCTCAGGTCCCAGGAAATCAGCACCTTCAGGGGGCTGGAAAACAGCCTTTGTGGAGACGGTGCCTATTAATTCATTTTGGGGTGCCCCTGCTACTCCCTCTGCAGTGCTCAGGGGGTCCAGAGCCCAGCTGCCGGTGACACTCGGCCTTGCAGTGTGGGCCTGACAGCTTGGTTCTCTGAGAATTGGCAGAGCTTGGGGTGCTGGCCCGACACACGGCCGGCCGACCTACCTACCCATCGGGAGGGGTCCCTGAGCTCAGGGTCAGGAGTAAGCCCTGAGCACCATCAGGTGTGGCCCCCAAATAAACAAACAAAGCTCAGGGCCAGGAACAAGCTCCAGCCTCGAAGACCCGTCCTGGCCCCTGCGCCCCTCATCAGATGTTACTGTCCTTCCATGAGGTGGGACACAGGCCGAGGGGGCACAGAGATGCAGGCTGGAGCACAGCAAGTAGCCCCCCATCCTGCTCTTCCCTCCATCACACCCGGCAGATCGGTGCCTGATGTCCTCCCCCCCCCGCCCCAGGAACCTAGTGGGGGGGCGGCTGAGACTTCCCAGCAGCCCTCTGGGGGCAAAGACACCGCAGGGCTCAACGGGGACCCCCACACCGAGGCCTCAGCTCAGCTGCACCCAAAGTTGTTGTTTCTCGGGTTCATCCCCCAGGGTGGCAGGGGACATCCCAGGCTAGTCCCGCCTCCAGAGAGGTCACCACAGCTTGGTCTGTGGCGGCCAGCCTGGGGCACTGTGGGTGTGGACCTGCCGTCCCCTGGCGCCCACCCTGGGCGCAGTACCCACCAGCAGGTGGCCGGCGTCCTCCAGCTTGGACTTGTACAGCATCCACTGGTAGCGCAGGTCCTCCAGCTCCTCCCGGGAGCAGCCCTCGGGCCCCAGGCGAAGGAGGTTCTCAAAGAGCTGCTGGCCTTCCAGCATCCGCGTCTCCAACTCCTGCCGACAAACGCAGGCGGTGAGCCCTTCCCGCGCGCCCCAGGGCCCCCAACTCAGCTGAGCACGTTCAGGCCAAGGCAAGGCCAGGGTTTTCTGGAATGTGCCAGCAGCCACACTGCGGCCCTCCCCGGGGTCACTTCCGGCTTGCCAAGGGCTCTGAGCTGTCCACCAAGGTGCTGCCAGCCTCCAGCTGCAGGGAAAGCCTCCTGGGGGCACTTTTTCTTTTTGGGTCACACCCGGTGATGCTCGGAGGTTACTCCTGGCTCGGCACTCAGGAAATCACTCCTGGTGATGCTCAGGGGACCATACAGGACACGGGGACCAAACCTGGGTCAGCCACATGCAAGGCAAATGCCCTACCCGCTGTACTATCACTCCATCCCCGTGGGGGCACTTTTTAAAAATTTATTTATTTATTTTTTGCTCGAGTGGGCCCAGTAACATCTCCATTTGGAGACTTTGTTGTTACTGTGTCTGGCATATCGAATACTCTTGGTAGCTTGCCGGGCTTTGCTTTTTTGGGTCACATCCAGCGGTGCTCAGAGGTTACTCCTGGTTCTGCACTCAGGAATTACTCCTGGCGGTGCTTGGGGGACCATATGGGATGCCAGGGACCGAACCCCGGTCGGCCACGTGCAAGGCAAATGCCCTACCCACTGTACTATCACTCCGGCCCCATGGGGGCACTTTTTAAGCAGGACACACAGGGATAAGAACACACTGCTGTGCCCCCGCCCCCATTCAGAGTCAGGCCTCGAGAGGGGATGGGGTGTGGGCATGTGGGGGTCACTGCTTGGCACCCCTGGCTCTGCCCTTGCCCCCAGCTGTTTGATGAGGCCAAGTTGCTGGTACTCGAAGCATGCACAGAGTGCTGGAGTCAGTGCAGGGGCTGGGAAGGGAGAATCTGAGCAAAGAGGGGGCGGGAAGGGCATCCCAGGGCCAAGCTTCTCCCCAGGACAACACGCTGAGAATGTGTCTCCTTCTCTGGAAAGCTACATTGAACAGGGGTTCGAACTCCCATACTGCCCAGCTACGCCACTTGTTGGCGTCTCTCCCCTCAAAACACAAAAGCATTTACTCTAACGGATCTCCAGTTCATTGCAATGTTTAACCAAGAGCAGAAGCAACGCACAGGTCCAACCATGGATGAGTGGATACAGAAACTGTGGTCTACAGACATGATGGAATACTATACAGCTCTAAAAAAGGACAAAACCAGGCATTTGCCATGTCATGGAGGGAACTAGAGGGTGTGCTGAATGAAGCCAGTCAGAAGGAAAGGGAGAGGCACAGGATGATCTTCCCATAGGCGGGACTTAAACACAGTACAGGGCTACAGAGATAGTACAGTGGGGAGGCATTTGTCTTGCATGCAGTCAACCCGGGTTTGATGCCCAGCACACCCTATGGTTCCTAAGCTCTGCCAGGAGTTATCCCTGAGTGCAAGCCGGGTGTAAGCCCTGAGCACCACTGGATGTACAACCCCAAGAAAAAATATAAACCACATAAATAAAGGTACCAGCATGGGAGGAGCACATGGCCAAAGCAACAGAACTCAAGAACTGGTCCACAGAACTGAACGTGGATCATGGGTGGAAAAGAAGGGGCCTTTGGGACCTTGGTGGGGGAAAGTGAGTACTCTGGAGGAGGGTGGAATGATGTATGCATGAAACCAGCACCAACGTATTATAAGTTACAGTGCCAAATAAAACTTAAAAATAACACTTAAAAAGCTGGGTAGATAGCACAGTGGGTGGGGCACTTGCTTTGCACATGGCCAACCCAGGTTCAAATCCCCAGCACCACATATGGTCTCTGAAACACCACCCGGTGTGATCCCTGGGCTCTGAGCCAGAAGTCAGCCCTGAGCACAGCCAGGTGTGACCAAATGCCTCCCCTCAAAAAAAAATTAATAATTAAAAAAATTCTTGCTAATTCCATGAGAATGTGTAAGAAAAGAAAAAAAAATTTTTAATATTAAATGGAGGCTGGAGCAATAGTACAGTGGGTAAGGCATTTGATGACCAGGTTTTGCGTCCCAGCATCCCATATGGTCCCCCAAGCACCACCAGGAGTAATTCCTGAGTGCAGAGCCAGGAGTAACCCCTGAGCATTGCCGAGTATGACCCAAAAGGCAAAAAAGAAAAAAAGTTGAAATATTTTAATGTATTTCAAAAAACCACCAAGATCTCAGAAAGGCTTCCAGAATCAGCTGACTGGGGAGCCCTCTCGGACCCAGCCAAGGGCAGGACAGAACTGGGAGCCCAGGCTTCACCCACAGGCCTTCTGGGGGTGCTGCTGTGGAAAGATCAATGCTCTGGGAAGCTTCTGGGGTGCAGGGCACAGAGGCTACCTCCAAGTTTGGCCCCGAGGAGCCCGGTGACCACTGTCCTTCGGCAAGACTCCGGGGGGTGAGACCAGAAACTTAGGCTCAAGGGGACTTGCTCACTCCAGGCCCACAGCCCCCTGGCCGGCAGAAGTCTCGCGCTCTCTGGAAAGGGGTGACGGGGGGGGGGGGGGAGGGGAATGACTGACACCCCACTGGGTGAGACACTCTCCTGTGAGCCGTTGGAGCAGCTGTCAGACACAGGCACCCAGATATGGGGCAGCAGACGCTGGGACCACAGCTCAGCCCCCTGCACAGGACACTGCGGAGTTCTCAAGACTCAGGAATCAGTTTCAGAATGGACAGACACAAGCTCCACCACGATGGGGGTCACAGGACAGTGTAAAAGCAGAGAAGACACAGCTAAAGAGAGAATCAAGTGGAAGGAAAGCATCACGACGAGACAGGGGTGCAGGGATTCTCGGGGTGCTGGCTCCTGTTCTGACCTTAAAAGGGCCCAAAAGAGAGAGGGAGAGAGAGAGAGTAAGAGAGAGAGAGAGACAGAGAGAGAAGAGAGGGGAGGGTACTTGCTCACACCCAACCCAGCCCCAGACACGGTCCTCCTGAGCACTACTAGCAGTGATTCCTGAGCACAGGGCCAGGAGGAAGCCCTGAGCACTGTTGTCTGTGGTTTCCCAAAACAATGAACAAATAAAAATGCCTCAGGCCCTGCCCTGCGCTCTCTTAGCCGGGCCTCCCACTTAAGTCAGCACTCTCCAGCCACAGGCTGTGGGGGTACTTGGCATGATTAAAAAGGGGGGAGATTTCCAAGTTGGGGAATGGAGGGGAGGAGAGAAGAAAGGGAGAAGGAAGGGAGAGGGGGAAGGAAGGAGAGGAAGAGGGAAAGAATTTTGAAAAATTTCTTCCAATATCTTTGAACTCCCAAATTAAAAAAAAAAATAAAAAGATCATGATTACAGACAGGATAGAGTCGGGAGGACTCCAGAGGGGCCCTGAGCACTCGCTGCTCTGGGGAAGTCCCGGCTGGGACCATTAAACAAGGGCCCTTCCTGGGACACACTGACCTGCAGCCTCGTCCCTTGGATCCTCATGTCCTTGGCTGTCTCTGATCTTGTGGCGGCAATTTTAGCCAGCTCAGCATTTTCTGCCTGCAGCCACTGCTGGAAGCTTCTCAGGAGCTGGGGAAGCCCCCCACAGCCGTCAGCATCTTCCCGGAGCTGGGGGAGCCTCTCACGGCCGTTGGCACGTTCCCGGAACTGAGGGAGCCCCTCATGGCCACTGGCATCTTCCCGGGGCTGGAGGACACCTCCACGGCCACTAGTGTCTTTCTGGGACTGGAGGAGCCCCCCACGGCCACTGGTGTCTTCCTGGAACTGGGTGAGTCCCCCATGGCCACTGGTGTCTTCCCGGGACTGGAGGAGTCCCGCACAGCCACTGGTGTTTTCCCGGGGCTGGGGAAATCCCCCACGGCCACTGGTGTCTTCCCGGGGCTGGGGGAGCCCCCCACGGCCACTGACATCTTCCCGGGGCTGGAGGAGGCCCCCACGGCCACTGGTGTCTTCCTGGAACTGGGTGAGTCCCCCATGGCCACTGGTGTCTTCCCGGGACTGGAGGAGTCCCCCACGGCCACTGGTGTTTTCCCGGGGCTGGGGAAATCCCCCACGGCCACTGGTGTCTTCCCGGGGCTGGGGGAGCCCCCCACGGCCACTGACATCTTCCCGGGGCTGGAGGAGGCCCCCACGGCCACTGGTGTCTTCCCAGGACTGGGGAAGTCCTTCACGGCCACTGGTGTCTTCCCGGGACTGGGAGAGCCCCCCACGGCCACGGGTGTCTTCCTGGAACTGGGTGAGTCCCCCACGGCCACGGGTGTCTTCCCGGGACTGGGGAAGTTCCCCACGGCCACTGGTGTCTTCCCGGGACTGGGGGAACCCCCCACGGCCACTGGTGTCTTCCTGGTACAGGGTGAGTCCCCCACGGCCACTGGTGTCTTCCTGGGACTGGGGGAGCCCCCCACGGCCACTGACATCTTCTCGGGGCTGGAGGAGGCCCCCACGGCCACTGGTGTCTTCCCAGGACTGGGGAAGTCCTTCACGGCCACTGGTGTCTTCCCGGGACTGGGAGAGCCCCCCACGGCCACGAGTGTCTTCCTGGAACTGGGTGAGTCCCCCACGGCCACGGGTGTCTTCCCGGGACTGGGGAAGTTCCCCACGGCCACTGGTGTCTTCCCGGGACTGGGGGAACCCCCCACGGCCACTGGTGTCTTCCTGGTACAGGGTGAGTCCCCCACAGCCACTGGTGTCTTCCTGGGACTGGGGGAGTCCCCCACGGCCACTGGCGTCTTCCCGGGACTGGGGGAGTCCCCCACAGCCACTGGTGTCTTCCCGGGACTGGGGGAGCCCCCCACGACCACGGGTGTCTTCCTGGAACTGGGTGAGTCCCCCACGGCCACGGGTGTCTTCCCGGGACTGGGTGAGTCCCCCACGGCCACTGGTGTCTTCCCGGGACTGGGGAAGTTCCCCACGGCCACTGGCGTCTTCCCGGGACTGGGGGAACCCCCCACGGCCACTGGTGTCTTCCTGGTACAGGGTGAGTCCCCCACGGCCACTGGTGTCTTCCCGGGGCTGGGGGAGCCCCCCACGGCCACTGGTGTCTTCCTGGGACTGGGGGAGTCCCCCACGGCCACTGGCATCTTCCCGGGTCTGGGGGAGTCCCCCACGGCCACTGGTGTCTTCCTGGGACTGGGGGAGTCCCCCACGGCCACTGGTGTCTTCCTGGGGCTGGGGGAGCCCCACACGGCCACTGGCGTCTTCCCGGGACTGGGGGAGTCCCCCACGGCCACTGGTGTCTTCCTGGGACTGGGGGAGCCCCCCACGGCCACTGGTGTCTTCCTGGGACTGGGGGAGTCCCCCACGGCCACTGGTGTCTTCCTGGGGCTGGGGGAGCCCCCCACGGCCACTGGCGTCTTCCCGGGACTGGGGGAGTCCCCCACGGCCACTGGTGTCTTCCTGGGACTGGGGGAGCCCCCCACGGCCACTGGTGTCTTCCTGGGACTGGGGGAGTCCCCCACGGCCACTGGTGTCTTCCTGGAGCTGGGGGAGCCCCCCAAGGCCGCTGGCGTCTTCCAGGAGCTGATGGAATCCCCCTTGGTCACTGCCATCTTCCCGGAGCTGGGGGAGACCCGCGGGGGAGCCTGCAACTTCCTGGTGCTGGGGGGGCCCGGGATGGCCCCCTGCATCTCCCCAAAGCCGAACAGCCTGCAGGGACATGGGTGTGAGTGGGGTATGGGGTGCGCCCCCTCGCTCCACTCCCGTCCCCTGTCTGAGTGAGGATGCTCGGGGACCCCCCTCCCCACGCCTGTTCCAACAGCTCTGAGCCCCAGCCCAGCGCGGGGCACGTCAATTCTCCTGGGAGCGAGGGACCCCGGATGCCTGGGGTGGGGGTGGCTGGCGGGTCTCTGTCTCTGGGGGCACGGGCAGGGGGGCCGCCAGTCCTGGGCTGGGTAGTGAGGCAGGGAGGGGCACTGCGGGTCCCGACACTCACCCGCCCGGCAGGCCGGGGAACTGGCCGGACCGGGTCCAGGAGAAACCCATCCTTGGGGATGCTGTTGGTGAAGATGGTCTTGGGCGGCGGCCCCTTTCCCGCGCCCCGCCGGGGGTTCCGCAGGAGGCTGAAAGACACGTGGTGGCCAGGTCAGCACCTTCCCCGCTGTCCATGATGGCTCAGGATCATTCCCTGGCCCCCCGCCCGCACCCTGGCCGCGCGCTCACCTGAGCAGCCGCTCCTCCTGCATCCTCAGCGCGCCCCAAGCATCCTGCAGCTGCCGCAGCTCCTCCTGCACCAGCGCGCCCCCTGCCGGCGAGGACGAGTCCACCACCTGGCGGCCGAGTCCCCGGAGCAGCGACAGGTGCGCCTCCTTCTCAGGGAACTCAGCCAGCAGCCCCTGCGGGACACGTGATCGTGAGGACCCAGGGCCGGGGGGCGGCGGCGGGGGCGGTGAGGGGTGCTCAGTGACTCCGGGGACCCGGCCTTACCTCGACCTCGGCCTCTCGGGGCTCGGCAGCCCACGCCTCCGTGTCCTCGCCGTGTGACCCCAGCTTCTGCGTGGCCACGGCCACCCACTGCCGCAGCTCCTGCAGCTGGTGACTGAAGGTGCAGTGTGTGCGCACGCTCTGCTGGCAGGTGTCCACCAGGCCCTGCAGGACAGCCCCACCATGCTGAGATCCTGGCCCCCCTCCGACACCCCCCCCCCCCCCACGGAGGGTCCCTGGGAACAGCCGTGATGCTCCCAGCTACCTGAGGAGCTGGCCTCTGGGTTGGGCGCTCTTTAAAATACAGGCCTCTGGGACTAGAGCGATAGTACAGTGGTAGGGTGTTTGCCTTGCACCTGGTCGACCCGGATTCAATTCCCAGCATCCCATATGGTCCCCCGAGCACTGCCAGGAGTAATTCCTGGGTGCAGAGCCAGGACTACTTCCAGGTGTGGCCTTGTGCATCGCTAGATGTGACCCAAAAAGCAAAAATATTTTAAAAAATAAAATAAAATGCGGCCCCAGGGGGTCGAGAAATAGGCACCTGCCTCACATGTGGCCGACAGGGTTTGATGCCCAGCACTCCACAAGCACCAGGAGTAACCCCTGAGCATTTCCAGGTGTGGTCCCAAAACAAAACAAAACAAAAAAGACCAAAAAAAAATTTTAAAAAAGGGCCCAAAGAGAGGGCTGAGGCCTGGCGTGTGCAAGGGTCCAGGTCGCCCTGCTGCTGTTTGACCCTGAATTAATAAGGGGCCAGAGAGATAGTTCAGTGGGCGGAGTGTTTGCACACAGCTGACTTGGGTTCAGTCTCCCATATGGTCTCCCATATGGTCCCCGGAGCCTGCCAGGAGTCACCCCTAAGCAGAGAGACAGGAATAAGCCCTGATAGGTGTGACTCAAAAAACCAAAATGAGAAAAAAAAATCATGGTTCAAAATCGGACCAGAGAATGTGGCTCTGGTGGCCACGCATGTGTTTCATACATTCTAAGCTCAGGGCCCCCTCCAGGAGCGCCCATCTCTGAGTGTGACCCCCATGCCACCACCTCCCTATCTCTCTGCTCAGGAATCACTCCCTGTGGTGCCTGGGGTCGAATCCAGGTCGGCTCTGTGCAAGGCAAGCGCCCTCGAACCGGCTTGGAGGCTGGGAAACTCTTAGACCAGGCTGGCTTGAGGCCGAAAGCCAGCGCTGCAGTCCCGAGCCCTTGATTCGTGAGAAGACCCGGGCCTCCCTCCAAATCTGCAGGCGCACACATGAATGTGTGCATGCGTGTGTGCGTGACAGAGGGAGGGCTGGAGCCGGCCCGTGTTCTCAGGCCAGATTGGAAGGAGCCTCCAGTTTCCAGCCTCTGCTCGCAGGTGCAATCAGTCCAGTGCAGACAGACCGCAGAAGGCAGCCACCAGGGGGCGCTGCGGATGAGGCCGGGGCTGGACCTGCGTGGACCCTGCAACGCTGGGACCCCAGCGGCCTCGGCTCCTGAGAAACGCATGTTTAGGACCCACCCGCCCTGAGAAGGGCACCCAAGGGAGGGCAGGGGCGCAGAGACCAGGCTTCCTGTTCCTGCAACTTCCACCCTCAGCCCAATGGGGGTCGGTGACACACCCGACCCTCTCCAACTCAACTGCTGAGTGGGGCAGGGCAGGAGAAAGGGGAGAGCCGGGGCAGGAGGGGGGCTCGTGGCAGAGCGCCAGGCCTACCTCCAGAGATCTCTGCAGGGCCTGGAAGTCAATGGACAGTTGGTCCATCTGGTGCTGGTGCTGGCGGTTCCCCTGGATGAAGGGTCTGGTGGCCTCCAGCTGCGCCCACAGATCCAGCGCCTCTTCCCGCAGCCCCTGTGGTGCACGAGGGAGTGAGGGGACGCGTCCCTCCGCCTCTCAGGGAGGAATGAGGGTTCGGGTCTTTCCTGGCTCTCATGGTGGAGGTTGATCAGCCTGGAGGGGGGTCTAAGGAGGATCACTCCAGGAACGGGGAACGTCCTGACCCAGTGGTCACACCCAGTCAGCCCCACCCCCACCCCCACCCGTGACACCCGAGCTGCTCTGGGCAGGTCCCTGTTGCCTCATGTGCATCAGCAGGGCGGCAGGCCCCTTCTCCAGGCCGCAGGCATTGCCAAGTGATCGCTTTTGGGGGGCTCCCAAGCAGTGCTCAGCAGGTCTGGGGGCCCCACTGGGGATTCTTGGCCAACCAGGCCATGCAAAGGCCCAAGGATGTAGTGTGGACGGGACCCTGCAGTGCCAGGGAGACCCAGGCCCCACCTGGCAGAGCTGGGGGCCTCCGGGGCTTCACTCAACAAGACTCAAGGGACCACGTGGTGTCAGGACTCGAACCCCAGCTAGGGGCAAGTCTGCACCCTGACTTCTTTCCTATGTCCCAGACCCACATTTATGGCATATGGGTACTTGTAACCTCATGGGTGGGCCCTGCGCTCCAGGGGACAGTCCACGGTGGCCTCTGTGTTCATCCTGCCATGCATGGGCCCAGGTCATGTGGTCTCGAGGGCCTGGCACTGCCTACAGGACGACATGCCCCCCAGTCGGGACAGAGGCTTCTGGCCTCGAGGGGAAGCTGGACAACGTGAACAGAATGAGGCAGGGGACACACAGCACAAGCCACAGGGCAGGGCAGAGTCTGATCTGAGAGCTGGGTAGGGTCGTGCGGCAGGTGTGAGGCTGAGCGGCCTCCCTGGGCAGAGCTCAGCCCCTGGGCAGAGGCTGTGGGGATGAGGCCAGGAACCAAGGGAGCAGGGGAGTCCCTGGGCTTGGTGCTGCCCGGCGGGCTGTTCTGGAGCAGGGCCTTGTCTCTAGGAAACCCGGACCCCACAGCCCCCCTTACCTGCAACTTCAAAAGCTGGATCTGCTTCCCAGGAAGGTCCTGCTGAAGCCCCTCATTGGCTTGGATCCTGGCTTGGAGGTCCAGAAACTTCTCCTTCAGGGACTGGAAAGCAGCTGCAAAATCTTCATGCTGTGCAAGCAAAGTCTGCAGAGACACCCGGGCCGCACACAGATGAGCTCTCTGCACGGACGCCCATCTGCACACCCCAACACTCACACCCAACTGCTCTCTCCCTGCTAACTCCTGGTCAGCTCACACTTAAGCACCACCTCCTCCAGGCAGGCCTCCTGGAACCCTGGAGAAGGCTGAATGCCCTTTCATCAGTGTCCTCACAGAACAGTGGTTCTGGCTTCTAGAACATGGGCTTCCATGCTACTTCCAAAATCCCTACCCAAAAATAGTCCTGTAAATAAAGTTTTATTGAGATATGGCCTCATCCCTTCATGCTTTCATGCCACAAGGGCAGAGCCGAGTCGTGCAATGGAGACCCTCTGCCCTAAAGCCCTACAGTGACCCCCCCAGGCCTTAGAGACTCGGATTTGATGTGCTCCCAGGTAGGATACATCCACAGCAAACCCCCAGCCTCATAACAGCCCCAACGATGGAGCTCCCATCTAGAAGAGCAGCTGGAAAGTACACAGGAGTCCCACTCAGTCTGCAGAGGTCAGGAGTGCTGGCAGGTCCCCACAGTGCTGAGACAAGGAGCTAAAACTGGGACGCAGGGCCCAGCCTTGCCAGGAGGGGGCACAGCTGAGCCAGGGAGTGCAGGGCCCAGTCTCACTAGGACAGGGCACAGCTGAATCAGGCACACAGAATCCAACTTTGCCGGGAGGGGGCACAGCTGAGTCAAGCATGTAGGACCCAGCTTTGACAGAGGGGGAGTAGCTGGATCAGGCATGTAGGACCCAGCCTTGCTGGGAGAGGGCACAGCTGAGGCAGGAATGCAGGGCCCAGCCTCTCCAGGAGGGGGCGCAGCTGAGGAAGGAATGCAGGGCCCAGCCTCTCCAGGAGGGGGCGCAGTTGAGGCAGGCAGGCAGAGATCAGTCTCTCCAGGAGGGGGCGCAGTTGAGGCAGGCAGGCAGGGGTAGCCTCTCCAGAAGGGGGCACAGTTGGGGCAGGTATGCAGGGCCAGTCTCGCCAGGAGGGGGCGCAGCTGAGGCAAGTATGCAGGGACCAGCTTCTCCAGGAGGGGGCGTAGCTGAGGCAGGAATGCAGGGCCCAGCCTCTCCAGGAGGGGGCGCAGTTGAGTTAGGCAGGCAGGGCCCAGTCTTGCCAGGAGGGGGCGCAGCTGAGGCAGGCATGCTGGACCCAGCCCGCGATAGAAGGGGGCACAACTGAGGCAGGAATGCAGGGCTCAGCCTCTTCAGGAGGGGGCGCAATTGAGGCAGGCTAGCAGGACTCAGTCTCGCCAGGAGGGGGCACAGCTGAGAGAGGGAGGCAGGGCCCAGCTTCTCCAGGAGGGGGAGCAGCTGGGACAGGCAGGCAGGGCCCAGTGCCCCGGGCGGGGCGACCCTCACCTGCAGTTTACTCTTCCTCTGCAGGAGGCTGTTGTGCAGCAGGTCTCGGTCCCGCATGGAGCTGGTCGCGTGCTCCAGCAGGGCTCTGGCTCGCTCCCGGCCGAACACGCTGTCCAGCAGCTCAGCCTGCAGTGGCAGCATCAGCAGCCGCTCCTTCAAGTAGCAGCTCTCGGCCAGGCTGGCCTGTGGGTGACAAGGCGCCCTGAGCCCCCGGCCAGCAGGCTTGGGGCTCGGTGTCGTGTCTGGGGCGCAGCAAGGGGGCAATGCAGCTGGGTTCCTCCCTCACCGGCACTGCCTGCCGAGCCCGGAAGTTTGTGCAGGGTCCACTTGTCTCCCTGCCCTCTGCCACCCACCCTGGCCCACCTCTGCCTCGCCCACTGTAGTCAAAGACACTGACCAGTGGCTGACCTTCAACTTCGCGGTGAACCCCAACAGATGGATCTGATCCCCTACTCCGGGGTCCCCAGTGACCACCATCAGTGGCACTAACTCCCTCCCCACCCAGGCGGTATTGGGGACTCTGGGGGATAAAGGCTTCTGAGAGCACAATCAGGGAGGCATTCGGGAGGCTCCTCGGAGGAGGCGAATGGGGCCGTGTGCAGGGGCTCACCAGGCCAAAGGGGACCCAGTGGGATCATGCAATGGGTGGTTTAAGCTGTGCAGCCCAGCGCCAGCTCCTCCAGGAAGACGGAGCCAGGAGACTCCACTTCCCGCCCGCCCCAAAGCTCCGGGCCAGCCTCAGCCGTGCGGGGTAGGGGCGCACTGTCCCACCGGTCAGGGGGGCCTGTCGATGGCTGGCTCTGGCCTTCCTTCTGTGAACCGGGTGAAGGGCCTGAGCACTCAGTCAACGCCCGGAGCCTGCCTCCCCCGCCCCAGCCTGCAGCTGAGAGATCTGGGCCCAGTGCAGTCGCCTTCTAGGCATAGGGCCTCTTTGCACCTCTGCAAAATGGGGCGTGCGGGTGGCGGCGAGGATTCTGCACGGTGTGCACTGCTGACTGGAAGTTATGGTGCAAACCGTGGCAACAGGGCCGCTCAGTGGTTTGTGCCCCATAGCAAGCGGTGGCTAGAACAGGGGTCTCGGATTAGGCGAGTTATTGGCTGATGGCGGTCCTGTGACTGGATCTGCCCAATCTGGTGGCAGCAGCTTGGCCGCGGGTTTCTGTGCAAAAAAACATTTGCCTCTCTGTGGGGCATCGCGGGCCAGGGAGAGTCCCTGGCCCCGTGCAGGTGCGTCCTGCATGAGATGCTGCTTGCTGCCAGCCGAGGCGTGCATGCAGCCCAGCAGTGTGGCCAGGAGGCAGCGCTCAGAGTGGACGCAACCAGGCTGTGGATGACAGCGCTTTTCAGCTGTGGGAAGGACCAAATCGGAGCCCCCAAGTTTTCAGTTAATTCTGTCGCTTGTCACGTGTGATCTGCTGGTGGGTGATGGCCCGATGCCTGCTGCCCAGGCCTGCAGGGCAGGGGGGACTGGGAAGGCAGTGCCGGTTCCAGGCACCGAGACCCACCGCTGTAGCAGGAACGGCAGGTGGCCCAGGTTACCTCGATCTGGGGCAGGAAGGTGTGAATGGAGGCCTGGTCAGGCAGGCTGGCCGTGACGTCCAGGAGCTTCTGGGCCAGGTCCTTCCACGGCTGCAGCCCCTCCAGGTGCCGCTGGAAACGCTGCCACAGGCCACTGGCCGCGACATTGCGCAGCCGCGTGCCTTTCCGCTTCAGTCTGGAGGCGCCAGGGAGAGGGAGGGTCAGGGGTGGGGGGTCAGGGGTGGGGGAGTCGGGGACTAGGGGGCGGGGGCGGGGTGAAGGCTCTGCAGAGAGCCCAGATGGCTGGAGGTCTCCCCTCCTAAAGCAGCAGGGTGCATCCTGCCGTTGAAAGTACACAGATGCCCCCTCCCCCCCACAACTATAATAAAACGGGGAGGGTGTTTGCTTTGCACCCTGCCAAACTCTGGCATCCCATATGGTCCCCTGAGCACTGCCAGGAGTGAGTCCTGAGTGCACAGCCAGGAGTAAGCCCTGAGCACCACCAGGTGGGGCCGCAAAACCAAAATAATGATGATGGATGATAATGTAATAATAAAAGTGCACAGTTGGTAAGAGTCGGTAAGAAGGCCACACAGCCTGGCTTCAGGACCTCAAGGCTCCTGAGCACTTGGGGAGCACCCAGCTGGCTCAGTCTGCCCCACACCCCCGGACCTAGAGGAAAGGGACCACACCCCTTCTCCAGTAAGAGCCTCATGCCAGGGCAAGTGGTTTCTACATGGAAGCGTCCAGCACCTGGACCCAGAGGGAGACAAACTGGCCAGGAGCTCGGGACTGCTGGGTCTGACCATCCCCCTGTCAGCCCACCCCAGCTCCGTGGCTGCACCCCTGCTGACCCGACACAGCGGCCGAGTGGTGGGGGGGGGGGGGGCAGACTCCATAAGGAGCGGAGCCCAGGTTTGTCCCCAGCACGAGACACTTGGGTCCCTGAACTGCCAGGTCACTAGGAATTGCTGCGGCTCAGGAGGCCAGATCTGCCCCCGGTTCAGGTCCACGTGGGGGGACGAGACTCAGTGGCCTGTGGCCCAGGCTGGGGGACAGGCACAGGCAGGAAATGGAATCTCTGCCTCCTCCTTTGGGTCCCTCCCTGGCCCGGACCCATAAGGAGACTTGGTAAAAACAGCGCGGAGGAAGGAAATTCCATGCCACTTCCTGGGCACCAGCTACACTGTGGACAGGGAAAGTCCCCCGGCCCTGGGAATCCCTGGACCAGCCTGTGTTGGCAAAGGGCAGTGTCCTGCCAGAGACAGCAGCCCCCTACACTGGAGACCGGGTGAAGGGCTTTGTTGTGCCCATCCATGTACCTCTGGAACTCCTGGACAACAGTCACCACCGCTCTGGAGAACGACTCTGGGTCCAGGCCGTGGGGCAGGCTGGTGAGTTCCTTCAGCTGGACCTCCAGCTGCTGCACCCGGGGCTCCTCGGCGGCCAGCGCCGCCCGCAAGGCCTGCAACACGAAGGGCAGGGGTCTGTGCATGGGGAGAGCATGGCAGCCGAGCGAAAACTGGCACCAAGGCCAGCGACTGCCCCGCCGCTGGAGCTCGGACTTCACAACTCCCACCTGTCCACACCTGGGAGACTGCGATTCCCCACCAGGAGAGCCTGAGGGAGGGGCCTAAGTCAGTGGGAGGGGCATAAATGGGGGCAAGGGGGCTAAGACAGGGTGAGGCTAAACCAGAAGGCGGGGCCTAACCTGGGGGAGGGGCCTAGCCCAGAGGGCGGGGCCTGAGGCAGTGGGTGGGGCCTAAGCAGAGGGAGGGGGCCTAAACCAGAGGGCGGGGCCTAAACTGGAGGAGAAACTAGCCCAGAGGGCGGGGCCTGAGTCAGTGGGTGGGGCCTAAGCAGAGGGAGGGGGGCCTAAACCAGAGGGCGGGGCCTAAACTGGAGGAGAACCTAGCCCAGAGGGCGGGGCCTGAGCTAGTAGGCGGGGCCTAAGTGAAGAGAGAGGGGCCTAAATCAGAGGGCGGAGCCTAAACTGGAGGAGGGCCTAGCCCAGAGGGTGGGGCCTGAGCCAGTGGGCGGAGCCTAAACAGGGCGGGGCCTAAGCCCTGCTTGACCTACCCACCAGGGCCTGCAAGCGGCGATGCCCAAAGCACACACAGCGCTTGTGACAAGATGGGCCCAGCTCCTTACCGAGAAGCGTCTCCAGCGGGCCAACAGCTCGTCCTCGGAGCAGTCCTCAGTGTCGGACTCTGTGGTCCCGGCGTGCGTGGCCTCGGGCTGCAGGCCCTCCTCGGCCAGCCTCTGCAAGACCTTATTGAACTCGGCCAGCTCGGCGTCCAGCCGCCCTGCCTGCCGCTCCCAGGCTCCCTCCGACTCCAGCGCTTCCCGCAGCCGGCCCTGCTCCTCCTCGGAGAGGTGAAGCAGCTTCTCCAGAAGCTTCCGCATCCTCTCCAGCTCTTCACTGATCTTCTGGGCGCCCAGTGGGGAGGTGTTGCGGATGACTCCCACAGCCAGCTCCTCCAGCCTGCTCAGAGACTCCTGGCCGCGGGGGAAGCCCTCGGCGATGTCCTGTGGGGCAGCGGAAGAAAGCAGATGAACCCCGGGGAAACGGCACACTGAAGAGGGGGCCCTGCTTCCTGGGGGCGCGAGGTCTGTTCCCAGCCTGCACTGTGCTTTAGGACGCCCACTTGCGACCACAGGACATTGGCCCAGCCCCGTCTCTCTGTGTGAGTGGCGCCCGCGGGGAAGGCCTGTGCTCTCCATCAGACCACAGCCTGGGCTTCCCTCAGGGCCCTCCGGGGCAGCAGAAGCCGAGGACCCAGCTGCTGCAGCCCCGAGGGTCTCTGGCCAGCCTCAGTGGCTCTGCACAGAGCTTGTCACTGGCAAGTCCACAGAGCAGCGGACAGCTGATGCTAATGGGTCAAGGTCACACAAGGAGTCAGGAAGGTCACAGTGCCTTCCCACTGCAGGCCAATGCCGCCTCCAGTCACCACGGCCAGCATCTGGGGCCACTTTGTGTTGAGCTGTGGAGTGCCCTGTGCTCTGGAGAATTCGCAGGGTCCTTGATTCCAACCTCCGACAGCACCAACCCCAGCCCTGCCATGAGAACCCCAATGTCAGCCCACACCGAGCTGCTTCACTGCAGACCCGCTGGTCTGGACCCTGCAGCTCCAGCCTTGCGTTTCTAGGTGCCCGGCTGCCCACTGATGCCCAGAGGGCAGCCAGACCCGGCCACCACTGGACTACAGGCCCCCACTCTGCAGGCCCTGCCCATCCGGTGCCCCCAGCAGCATCTTAGGAAACGAACAGGGGCGCGCCCCACCCGGCAGAGACCCAGTGGGGTTACCTGCAGCGCCAGGAGGCGGTGCTTGGTGGTCAGCGTGGAGTCGGGCCCCAGGCAGCTGTTCGCCTTGTCCACGGAGGCCTTCAGCCACTGCTGGAACTCTTCCACGCCGGCCTGGAAGTGCGCATGCTCCTGGGCTATCTGCTCCAGCACCTCCACCCTGTCCTGTGGGGAGACGACACTGGCCATGAGGACCCCAACCAGGCTGCCGCTGGCCTTGGAGACCTGTCCCTGTGCATGTGGACATTTCCGTGCACACATTTTACCTGCTTGTGTGTGCACAGGTATGCATGCTTCTGCACAGGTGTGTTTGTGTACGCCTCCATGCATGTGCTCACACATACGCGTTTGTGTGTTGTATAAATGCCTGTGAACACGCGTGTGCTTATGTCTGTGTGTGTTCCGTGAATGATGTGTGTGCATCTGTAACCCACCCTGATCTCTTAATTACAATAACCCATGAGAGGCCCTGAAGCCGTCAGAAATCACAACACTATGCTTAAACGCTCCCCCACCCCCCTCCTCCGCCCCAGGCGCTGCCACCCAGGCGCTGCCACCAGCGGTCCTAGCCCCTTGCACTTCCCTGGCCACCCACCAGGTGGCGCCCGTTCAACCCAGTTTGACCAGCACGGAGAGCAGGCTCAGGGCGGCAAAGCCACTGGCCCAACAAACATCACCAGGACAGGCAAGAACGGGGCTGCCCCAGGGCCAGGCAGCTGGCCCGGCACCAGTGTCCCGTGACGATGTGGTGGGTGGCGATGCCGCAGTCGCCCCTGGTTTCCCATGATGCACTGAGGCTCTAAGCACAAGCCAGGCCAGTGCCCGAGGGTGGGATTAGCGTCCCTGGCAGGAGACCCACCCCCACCCCCGCCCAGGACTGGCTGTCCAAACACACCCCAGCTCCAAACACACCCATCACACTCTGTCTCTCCAGAGCGTTCCCTGCCTGCACCCAGGCTGGGGGAGCAAGGGCAGCCTCCTGCGGTGACTGTCACATGACTGTCACATCTCCCCCCTCCCCCCGGTCTCCCTATCTGGAAGGAATCGGCTGCCAGGACCCAATCAGTACCACGCCACTTGGCACCAAACCGAAGCCCAAGTGAGTTTGTGTTAGCCTGGCAAGCTACCGAGAGTATCTCCTCTGCACGGCAAAGCCTGGCAAGCTACCTGTGATGTATTCAATATGCCAAACACAGTAACAAGTTTCACAATGTTACTGGGCCTGCTCAAGCAAAAAAAAAAAAAAAATCAAACCCTAAGGGGTTCTGTCATACCCACAGAGTCTGGAGCGGGTGTCCCCCAGAAGCTCTCATGGAAGTAAGCCTGGGCCACCAAGACGACCCCTCAGCCAAGCCTGCCTCTTCTTGGCTTCCTCTCCTAGGAGGGTAAAGGGAGGCAGGGCGAGGGGGTCCTCATTTAACAAGCACCCCCCATGCCTGGGACGTGAGGGGCAGCGTTGCATGTCATCTTTGCGATCGCAAATCTTTTCTGTAGAGGATGTCCCGAGAAGCTGGGCAGTGCCTCACTCTGCGCTCACACAGCCACCAGGGCCCAAGCTGCTCCTAGCCACCAGCTGACGCCCACCGAGCACGCCATGTGCCTTGTGCCAGCAGCTCCGCCCCTAAGGTGCCCTTTGCACTGTCATCCCAGGCAAGCAAGTCAAGACTTGGGCGTCCGCCCCTCAAACTGAAACATAGTCTCTGGAAGTTCAACTTGAAAAGGCACCAAATTGCCTGCTGCTTCTTTTCCTCCCTATCGTTAAAAAAAAAAAAATGTCAAAAATGCAAAAGGAGACCCTGGAGTCTTGAACTCCTGCAAAGGCTCCAGGGGGCCACACTGGCCCAGATGAGCTCACAGCCAAGCATCCGAGCAGAGTTATGCAGGAGGGACCTGCCTGTCCCACTCCAGAGACAGGGACAGAACCAGATGAAGAAAAATTAACTCACTGGGATTACATGCGTGCCACCAGCGATAGGCAGGCTGGGGTCCCTGAGCCAGCAGACACCACCCCCCACCCCCCATAAGCATCAGGAGTAACCTGCAGAGCCTGACCGGCACTACAGTGACCCCTGGAGGGACTCGAGCTCTGCCGTGGTGTCACACACACATGCGTATGATCCACCACAATGTACCTGGAGGGCCCATCTGAGGCAGTAAGGGCATCCATGAGGGTCAGCCCGAAGGAAGAATGCGCTGAGGTTGGCCGGAGGCTGCCCGCCCTCCCGCACTGGACCAGGGAACCGTGGGTAGCGAGCAGGGCTGTCGGAGTCCTCTGGGCCCCGGGACAAGCACTTTCACCCTTTCGCAACGGCTGCTGGATGGTGATTCAGGGCCCAGAGGCGCCCTGAGCAGGGAGGGGCACCCTGGCAGCCGAGATTACAAAGGATTGAAATGTTTGTGGATTTAAGACAGAGGGAACAAACAGGCAAGGCCCCCTGGGAGCCTCCTCTGTCCTCCGTTCTAAGCTTCGGGCCGGCGGGGGCTAGTGCCCCCCCGACTGGGCCTGCACTGGCCCTTGCTGTTCAAGTCTCCCCTGCAAGAGGCTTTTCAGGTCCACGGTCCTGCGGGTTACACACGGGCCGTGAAATGCAGCGTCTCCTGGGCACGGGGCCAAGCAGCGGGCTCTCTCTCGAGACGGATGGGCTCTCTCGCGAGAGTGAAGGGGTTCCCACGCTCTAGGGCCAGGGCTGAGGCGCCTCCTTGGGGGTGTTAGGTGACACAAGGGTGGGGCCCAGGGGAATTAGTGTCTGGGAGGAAGAGTATCCAGGCTGCCACCAGGCCCTGCCCAACCCATCACTGAGTGCCAGGGAGCAGGTGGCCACTGGCCGGCCAAGAAGAGGCCTCCCAAGAGCCCATTTACCGGCACCCATATCTTGGCCCTGAACCCCCCCCCCCCGTGCGAGAAATAAATCCCCCTGGCCAAGGCCACCCAGCTGCTTTGTTCTGGGGAGCTGAGCTGACCCAGATGATCTGGGGACGGACCTGGCCTTAGGGGTGGGATTTCCGCTGTTTGCATGGTGTGTTTTTTTTGGGGGGTGGGGGGGGTATGTACCTGGGGCCACTCCTGGCCAGGCCTGGCTCACACCCAACCTGGTGGTGCCGTGCTCAGGTCTGGAGGTGCTCAGGGGACACTGGGGCCAGTCAGCAATGTTTTGGGGTCACCGGGGACACAACTCATGATGTTGGGGGATGCCCAGGCCTATGCCCAGGGATGCTCTGGGGGCCACTGAGTGCTGGGGAGTGACTCTGAGTCAGGACATGCAGAGCATTTGCCCTCACCCCTGGGCATTTGCCCTCTCCCCATTTCTAGGAGGAGAGAGAGAGAGAGACAGAGACAGAGAGAGACAGAAACAGAGAGAAATAGAGACAGATAGACAGAGCCAGAGAGACAAAGAAAGACAGAGACAGAGAGACAGGGACAGACAAAGACAGAGAGACAGAGAGAGACAGAGAGACAGAGAGAGAGAGAGACAGAGACAGAGACAGAGAGCCAGAGATCTAAAAATGGGCCCAGAGCCATGCCAGAATACTGGAAGGATTGGCGGGGCTGGAGAGATAGCACAGCAGGTAGGGCGTTTGCCTTGCACACAGCCGACCCGGGTTCGATTCCCAGCATCCCATATGGTCCCCTGAGCACCGCCAGGAGTAATTCCTGAGTGCAGAGCCAGGAGTAACCCCTGTGCATCGCCAGGTGTGACCCAAAAAGCAAAAAAAAAAAAAAAAAAAAAAAAAAAAACCAGAATACTGGAAGAATTGGGGGCTGGAGCGATAGCACAGTGGGTAGGGCATTTGCCTAGCACGTGGCCGACCCGGGTTCAATCCTCGGCATCACATATGGTCCCCCCTACCACCAGCACCGCCAGGGGTAATTCCTGAGTGCAGAGCCAGGAGTAAGCCCTGAGCATTGCCAGGTGTGAAGCAAAAGAAAAATATATATATATTGGGAGAATAAACAAGGACAGAGACATGCAGAGTCTTGGGAAAGACAGCCCCAGGTCATGAGGAAACACCCCAGGGCGATAAGAATCCTGAAGGTAATCAGCCCCCAGATGCCCCCGCCCAAGCGCACACATGGTCCCAGTGTCCATTCCTTAGAGTACAAGTGCCTAGCACGTGGCCGACCTGGGTTCAACACCCAGCATCAAAATATGGTCCCCACCACCACCACCGCCAGGGGTAATTCCTGAGTGCAAAGCCAAGAGTAACCCTAGTGCAAGAGGTTGCACACGGTAAGACCCAGGAGACTTCCAGCTCCAGCCCCAAGCCCCGACTAGACAGCCCGAGGGCCTTTCCGAAGCCGGAGCCACTGACAGCGACTCAGATGCAGGCTCAGGGCACCCGGTAAGAAGTGGAGGAAGAGGCGGGAGACAGCAGAGACTGCTTACAGAGTGCAGAGCTTGGAGTGACTTCCGGTATTAGGGGGGTGGGGGTGACAGCTGCAAAGAGGGAGAAGCTTCCAACAGCCACCCCTGGCCAAAGAGGGACCAAGATCTACCACCAGCACCGGGGAGGTCAAAGAGCAGTGAGAACGCCACCTTTCAGCACCGCACGGCAAGTGCGGGCTCCGCTCGGGGCTCAGGGTAGAATCCCCAATTCAAGAGCCCATGAGCCAGACGTCACAGAGACCAACGGCCGGGGAGCCACACAGCCCCTGCAAAGGACAACACCTCCCTCCCCCCCACACACACAGACACACATGTATACAGAAACACAGACATGAGACACTTAGACACACACACCTCACACAGACACACCTCCATACACACACACACACATACAGAGACATAGCCACACACGATACATATATACTCAGACACACTCCCCCACAGACACACCTCCACACACAGAGATACACAGCCACACACAGCACAAACACACTCAGACACACACACCCCACCCCACACACACATACAGAGACACAGCCACACACAACACATATCATACACTCAGACACACACACCCCATACACACACACCTCCACACACACACACATATACAGAGACACAGCCACATACAACACATATACACTCAGACACACACACCCCACACAGACACACCTCCATACACACACACATACAGAGACACAGCCACACACAACACATATCATACACTCAGACACACACACACCCCACACAGACACACCTCCATACACACACATATACAGAGACACAGCCCCACACAACACATTATCACACACTCAGACACACACACCCCACATCCCCCATACACACCACCATACACACACACACACATATAGAGACACAGCCCCACACAACACACTATTACACACTCAGACACACACACCCCACATCCCACACTCACACATCCCACACGCAGCGCACACACTCACATACAGACCCACAGACACACACAGACACATACCATTCACACAGAGACTGGTCACTGGTCACTGTCCGGACATTCAGGTACAAAAGACACTCACAGAAACACACAAAGACACATACCCCAGACCCACAGACATGAAGGAGGAAACTCGCTTCACCTTGCCAGCGACGGCCGCCATCCTGCCTGCATTTTAAACATTCCTGCATTCCTGCATTCTTTCTGAGACTGGGAAAGTTTGCGATTTCCCGAGACCATAAAATTCTACCCCAGACCTTGGGCTCATAGGAGATTAGGAGGTAACTCTGGGCAGATGGTAAAAAATAAAATCTAAACCATTTTAAATAGGTGGTCCCCACCCACCTGAGTGGGAATGAAAGATGTTAATCTTACCTTAGCAAAAGGGAAGAATGTCCAGCCCCCATGCCAGGCTGTCCTCTCCGGGGCCCCTCGGAAGGGGACAGGTTGAATCTCCCTCCCTGCCCCAACCTGAGCCCCGGCAGCCCAAAACCTCCGGAACCCAGTCACAGCCATGCCCAAGGCCACTCTCCACATGCTCGGACGAGCCTCATCCATGAAGGAACCGTCAGAGAAGGTGTGCGGGACCCGGGGCTGAGATCTCCAAGCCTGCTCGGATCGGGACTGGGCCTTCTCCACCCAGATCCCCCGTTTTCCAGTAGCTTGTCAGCCACACCCACAAACTGGCCCCTAGCACCATGTAATCTCATCAACAGCCAAGACCCAGAGACTATAAAACAAAGCTCCCGGAAGAGAGAGATGCAGAATCTCCTGCCCCCATGTCAGGCTGTCTTCACCAGGGCCTCTCGGAGGGGAGGCGGGTTGAGTTTCCCTCCCTGCCCTGAGCAGAGTCCCGGCAGCCAAAAGCCTCCAGAACTCACCCCTAGCCACGCCTAAGGTCACAATCCACACGCTTGGACAAGCCTCACCCATGAAGGAACCATCAGAGGAACCCAGGGCTGAGATCTCCAAGCCTGCTAGGATCAGGACTGGGCCTCCTCCACCCAGATGCCCCGTTTTCCAGTAGCTTGGCAGCCACGCCCACAAACTGCCCTGGCACCATGTAATCTCATCAACAGCCAAGATCCAGAGACTATAAAACAAAGCTCCCGGAAGAGAGCGATTTCACACGGCAGAGCCTGGCAAGCTACCCGTGGCGTATGGCATATTCGATATACCAAAAACAGCAACAATAATGTGTCTCATTCTCCTGACCTTGAAAGTGACAGGGAGAATGGAGATGTTACTGGTGCCCGCTTGAGCAAATCGATGAGCAATGGGATGACAGTGATGCAGTGATACAATGATACCTTAGCAACACAAACTAGCCATAAATTAAGAGGCCATCTCTGGGAAACTCTGGGAATCTGCTGATACTTTGTATTTAATAAGTAACACAAAGACCCAGTTTTCCTACAAAACCAGCCATACTTAGTTCTTCCCTTGCTGGGAAGTTTCTTTTCTACTCTTCAATAAACTCTATTTTATAACTCTGACTCTGAGTATCCTTTTTACTCAACAATGTCATTCATGTTTGGTTTGGTTTGGTTTTGGGACCACACCTAGCGATGCTCAGGGGTTCCTCCTGGCTCTGCACTCTGGGATCTCTCATGGAGGGGTCAGGGATGCCATATGGGATGCCAGGGATCAAACCCAGGTTGGCCGCAGGCAAGGCAAACGCAACTACCTGCTGTACTATCTCTCTAACCCCATTTGATATTTTCATTCTTGAAAATATTGAAGAATCAGGGAACCGTGGGCATACACAGAGACTCATCACGGCTTCTGCAGCAGAAACACAGACAGACATGCAGACACACGGGGTTCTGCAAAGAACTAGGTAGGGGGAGCTCACAGCCCAACCTCGTAGTCCACACACCCCCAGAAATGGCCCACATTTGGCTCTCGACAGACAACAACGTCAGACTCCAGAACATCAGCTATTCAAACAGTCAGATGGAGACTGTGCCACTGAGAATCGATGTGATCTGCACCTGAAAGGGATGCAGACCTGAAGGGAACAGGCAGTGAAAAGTGAAGGCGGCAAACAGCAAGAGCCAGATCGAATTTTCAAAAGAACTGAATGTCACAACGCAGGGGACTGTTTAATAATCAACGTGAAAGCAAGCTAAGGGAGTGGGAACAAAGGAGGGTGGAAGGGTGGACACAGGGTAGGGGAAGGGCAAGAGAGAGGGAAGGAGGGGGCTGGAGCGATAGCACAGTGGGGAGGGCGCTTGTCTTGCACGCAGCTATCCCGGGTTCGATTCCCAGCATCCCATATGGTCCCCTGAGCACCGCCCGGAGTCATTCCTGAGTGCAGAGCCAGGAGTAACCCCTGAACAATGCCGGGTGGGCCCAAAAAGAAAAAGAGAGAGAGAGAGAGAGAGAGGAAGAGGAGGAGGAGGAGGAGAGAGAGAGAGAGAGAGGGAGGAGGAGGAGGAGGCAGAAAGGCCAAAGCAGAAGACTCAAAGAGACAAAGAGGAGTCAGGCAGATGGAAGCATCTAGACCTGGCTGATGGTGAGCACTTATAGAGAGGGTGTCATATGTACTAAGCACCTAGTAACTCTGGGCATGGGGGTGCTGGTTGCAGGTGAGGGGTGGGTGGACAGTGGAGGAGGGGTGGGAGGGTACGTAGAAGGTGGTGGGTGCTGAGACTCGTAGTCGGTGGGTGGGTGAGGTGGGCGGTGGAGGAGATTAAGTGTCTGGGGAGATGAGGGGAGTCGGTGGGAGGCCAAGGACGGGTGAGGGCTGGGGGAAGGGTGAGGAGAGTCAGGCCAGCGGATGGGGTGAGTGGAGGCCTGGTGGGCTGCTAGGAGGCAGAGGCGGAGGCCGGTGGGCCTCGTGGGTGGGCAAGCGGCCGCGGGTGTGGACAGCCGTGGGCGCACAGCTGGGGGCTTCCGGCCGCGTCTCACCTGGGCCTTGGCCTTGACCGCGTTGTACTGGGCCTGGATCTGCTTCTGCGCGCTCTCGTCCACGCTGGGGTCCTCGATCCTGTCGAACAGGGCGGCCGCCTCATCCAGCAGCCGCTCCAGGAGCGCGGCCTGCTGGCCCACGTGGTCCCGCAGCACCTGCGCGTGGCTGAGCTGCCACTGCTTCTCGCGCAGGCCCAGCTGCAGCTCGGCCGGGGGCGCCAGCGCCACCTCCATCTTCTGGAACCAGCAGTAGAACTCGTCCCGTGCCAGCAGGTACTCGCTCCAGTGCAGCCACACCCACTCGAGCCGGCTGCGGAGGGACACAGCGTGAGGGGCTGCGGGTGGGGGGTGGGGGTCCTGGGTCCCACCACCCCAGGTCCCCAGATGGCGCAGCGCCCACACCCACTCAAGAACCACCAACCCCATGCTGCACCCTGACTTCCAACCCTCAGGCCCACCGGTTCCCCGCTTGATTCTCCCTGCATGTCACCCATCACCTGGGCGCATCATCCAAGGACACAGTTCCTGCAGGGGATAGGGGTGCAGGGAACTGCAGTGCCTGAACCCAGGGTCCCCTCCCAGTGTGAGCAGGCCGGGCACGGGGTCACGAGGATAAGCATCCAGGCCACAGCGGGGACTGTAGCCAGGACACAGGGGTGCCCGACACCCACTGAGAGATGGCCTCGGTTTCCCCGTCTGTCCAGCCCATATCAGGTCGCTTGGTTTGGGGTTGTGAAAGGCAGGCAGCCCTGAGCAGAGGCCCACGCAGCACCCTCGCTGCACAAAGGTGCAGGGTGAGCTGCTGCTCTGTGGGTCTGTGGCACACGCAGCTCCATCTTGTATGTCCCTGACATCCTCCTGCTAACCTTCAAGGAGGAACTGATGAAACCCCACTGTCTAGAGGAGCAGCCGGAGGCTCAGAGAGGTCAAGTAAACTTCCCCAGGGCCGCACAGCAGGGAAGCCATAGAGGAAGAGGCAGCCGCAGGAGCTTTGAACAACTTCCCCTCTCCCCCACCCTGGTTCCTGCTGTAGGCAGAGAGTCTGGACCCACATGTGAACCCGGACAGTGGCCTGTTCACTCCAGAACAGCTCAGTTCTCCTGCCCAAGGGTGCCAGGGCCCCTCCATCGGGAATTCTGGGTAAGCCCCGGAAGGGGCAGTGTCTGACGGGCAGCAAAGGGAGGCAGGGCTGGCCTGGTCCCCCAGGCCCCAGGCTGGTACCTGTGGCAGTGCGTCATGTAGGTGGTTGTCTCCTCCCACTCGGCCTTGATGGCCCCCAGCTGGGCCAGGACCTCGGGCCTCTTGGAGTCGGGGCAGGAGGCCAGGAGGCCCTCGGCCGCTCGCAACACCAGCTCCACCTTCATGTTCCCCTCTGGCTCCAGCTGGCAGATTTTCTGTGGGGACACAAAGGCCAGATCCCAGGCATGAGGGGGCCCCCCGGCAGGGCCGGACAGTGCGGGGGTCTGAGAGGGATGCGGCCCTGCCCCCTCATCCCCGGGAGCTGGAACAAGAGCGGCCGGATGGGGCGGAGGGGTGCGATGGTGGAGCTGAGCGCTGAGTGCTAGCTCTTGGGGGAGGGGGTCTGTCTGCTGGCCCTGAGACTCCCCCGACCCCCCCCCCCACGTCCCCACGCGGCCCCCCGCTAGCTGCGTGAGCTCAGACCAGTTTCCTGAACTCTTCGGACTCAGTGTTCAGGCCTGGGAAATGGGGGTATCGATGGCTGCAGATTCCTGGGGCTCCCCCAGAATGAGAGGACCACGCACAGGCTCTGTGTCTCTCAGGGCTACGGCAGGGAGCGACCCCCCAGGGAGTGCCCCCAGCGGTCCTGCTCCCTGGTGCCGGAACCCCGACACAGGCCGGCCTGGGGGACAGTGGGTACCCTCAGAGGGTGGGGCCCTGGTGGCGTGTGGGACGGGAGAGACGGCTGCTCTGCTCCACGCGGGGAAGCACCGGGCAGGGCCACCCCTGGGACCTACCTCGGTCTCCCGCAGCCTGGCCTCCAGCGCCGCGCGGGGCCCCTGCGTGTCGTCGTTGAGCCGCAGCCGCTCCTGCACCGCCTCCATCCAGGCCCGGGCGTCCGCCAAGCTCCGGTCGAAGCTGGCCTGCGGCTGCCCCGTCATGGCACCTGCGGGCTGGGGACAGGAGCCCGTGAGAAGGGGGAGCAGCCAGGAGACAACAGTGACCCGGGGGAAACTGAGACCCAGAACAGCCATGAGCCGGGGGACACCGAGACCCAGGGGACAGTTATGACTCAGGGGACAGTCGTGACCCAGGGGACAGTCGTGATCCGGGGCCAGCTGTGACCCATGGGACAGCCATGACCCAGGGGACAGCCATGACCCAGGGGACAGTCGTGACCCAGGGGACAGTCGTGACCCAGAGGACAGCTGTGACTCAGGGGACAGTCGTGACCCAGAGGACAGCTGTGACTCAGGGGACAGTCGTGACCCAGAGGACAGCTGTGACCCAGGGGACAGTCGTGACCCAGGGGACAGTTATGACCCAGGGGACAGTTGTGACCCAGGGGACAGTTGTGACCCAGGGGACAGCCATGACCCAGGGGACAGCCATGACCCAGGGGATAGCTGTGACCCAGGGGATAGTTGTGACCCAGGGGACAGCCGTGATCCGGGGCCAGCTGTGACCCATGGGACAGCCATGACCCAGGGGACAGCCATGACCCAGGGGACAGTCGTGATCCGGGGGACAGTCGTGATCCGGGGCCAGCTGTGACCCATGGGACAGCCATGACCCAGGGGACAGCCGTGACCCAGGGGACAGTCGTGACCCAGAGGACAGCTGTGACTCAGGGGACAGTCGTGACCCAGAGGACAGCTGTGACTCAGGGGACAGTCGTGACCCAGAGGACAGCTGTGACCCAGGGGACAGCCGTGATCTAGGGGACAGTTATGACCCAGGGGACAGTTGTGACCCAGGGGACAGTTGTGACCCAGGGGACAGTTGTGACCCAGGGAACAGTTATGACCCACGGGACAGTCGTGACCCAGGGGACAGTTGTGATCCAGGGGACAGCTGTGATCCAGGGGACAGTCGTGACCCAGGGGACAGTTATGACCCAGGGGATAGTCATGACCCTGGGGATAACTGTGACCCAGGGGATAGTTGTGACCCAGGGGACAGCCGTGACCCAAGGGACAGCCATGACCCAGGGGATAGCTGTGACCCAGGAGACAGTTGTGACCCAGGGGACAGCCGTGACTCAGGGGACAGTTGTGACCCAAGGGACAGTCGTGATCCAGGGGACAATTGTGACCCAGGGAACAGTTGTGATCCAGGGGACAGTCGTGACCCAGGGGACAGTTGTGACCCAGGGGACAGTTATAACCTAGGGGATGCCATGGCCCAGGGGACAGTTATGACCCAGGGGACAGCTATGATGCAGGGGACAGTTATGACCCAGGGAACAGTTATAACCCAGGGGACGCTGTGACCTAGGGAACAGTTATGACCCAGGGGATGCCACGACCCAGGGGACGCCATGGTGCAGGGAACAGCTTTCAGCAGTGATTGTCCACACTGGCGCAGCAGTCAAGGCGATAGGGCTTGCCTGGCGGGATGGAGCCAGGAGAGAAGATCAGGTCTGGCCCCTCCTGCAGGAACTGGCCCTGCCCGGGGACACAGGTGGCCAGCTCCCTGCTGACTGGCCGTGGGTACAGGGCAAGTCTGCCATCCCACAGCTCACAGCACCTCCAAATAAAGATCCTGGACCCCTCAAGTCTGAGCCATGGAGGGAATCTGGCCTGGATGGTGCCTGAACTGGGTTCTGAGCATCGGCAGAGTGGACAGCGCCCCTGCCGCTCCCCCGAGACTCACCGCCCAGCTTGGGGGTTCGGGCCACTGCTTTCCCACCCACCAGACCCTCGGCAGCCTCTGGGCCCCCCTGTCTCCCCCACTGGACCCCCAGGCCCCGTGGCCTCCTGGCAGCCACTGGCAGTCGACCGGCTTAGCCTTGGGTGGATATGCCCACCCCTGGGCTACTGGCAGGGGCCCAGCGACACCAAAGCCCGTCAGACAACCCGCAGCTGCACTGACCCCAGTGGCTTTGTGCTTGTGGCTGAGACCCAGGGACAGCCATGACCCAGGGGACAACGAGACCCAGGGGACAGCCATGACCCAGGGGACAACGAGACCCAGGGGACAGCCAGAAGCACAAAGCCACCAGGGTCCCCTGGGACTGTCCAGAAACTCCCCGAGGTTCGGACTGTCCACTTGTCACTGTGTGCAGGGCCTGGGTCCAGCATAGCCATGACCCCCACCCACCCCAGCAGGCACTGCCAAGGCCACCCACATGGCCCATGTGACACAGAGTGGAAGGCACCGCAAACCAACCACGGCCTTTGCTGTTAATGGAACCATGGTGGAGAGGGTAGATCTCTGGTGTCCCCACATCTGCTGGGCACCTGATCAGCTCTGGCTGACCCCAGCACCACGCATGGTCCCCCGAGCACTGATGGGAGGAATCCGGAACACAGAGCCAGGATTAAGTCCTGAACACTGCTGGGCATGACTTCAAAGCAAAAGCAAAGCAAACAAAACAAAAAAAACTGGAAGCAACAGAAGTCTGATAATGGGGGAATTCCTTCAGCACTGTGTGGTCTGCTCGAGCCTTGGAGATGGCACAGGGGCTGTGATGATGGAGGCCAGAGAGAACAGGACCCGGGGTAACATGCAGAGCCGGAACCCAGAACGGAGGCTACATTTGTCCTTACCCTTAGGGTAATGCTGAGGGGCCCAGGAGGGTTCAAGCCATGCCCATGCCCGTACCTGAAGCACCCCCTAGGCCCCTGGTCTCAGCCATCCTCTCTCTGGTTGTGTGGTTCTCAAGAGGCCACTTAAAGCCACTTAATGGTGCGTAGCTGTGGGAGTTTTTCTGCCCCTTATTTTCCCTGTAATTGCTTTGTGAATCTGGTAAAGGTAAAGGTAAAGGCCCTCCCGTTGATCGTCGATTTGCTCGAGCGGGCCCAGTAACGTCTCCATTGGAGACTTTGTTGTTACTGTGTCTGGCATATCGAATACTCTCGGTAGCTTGCCGGGCTCTCCGAGAGGGGCGGAGGAATCGAACTCGGGTCGGCCATGTTGGCCGCTTGTAAGGTGAACGCCCTACCGCTGTGCTATCGCTCCAGCCCTGTAGTTGAGTTTATTTTGTATTGCCTTGTGTTTGTTTGAGGGCCACACCCAGGGGTGCTTCTCCAGGCTCAGGGCTCCTCCCAGGCGGGGGCAGGTGGCAGGTGGGGGACTGAGGATCAAACCTGGGCTCTCTGCTTGCAAAGCACAGGTTTGATCCCCTGCAGGAAGGCATATGGCCGCCCTCGGGCCCCGCGGGAAGCCCAAGGTGGTCAAAAAGAGAACCAAGAAATTCATCAGGTACCAGCCCAACCACTCCATCAAGGTGAATCAATTGGCAGAAGTCCAGAGGCATGGACAGCCGTCTGCACTGGACACTCGGGGGCAGAAGCTGATGCCCACATCAGTTCTGGGAGCACAAAGAAGACAGCCCATACTGCCCAGTGGCTTACAGAAGTTTCCAGTCTACAATATCAAGGACCTCGGCATGCTGCTGACATGCAACAAATCTCACTGGGCTGAGATTGCCCTAATGGCTCCTTGGAGCATCACAAAGTGAGTGTGCAAAGAGCAGCCCAGCTGGTCATCTGTGTCACAGCGGAGAAAGTGACAGACAGAAACATTATGTTGTGTCAATAAGGCTGTGCGCCCACACGCGCGCGCACACACACACACACACAAACACACACACACACAAACACACACAAGCACACACACACACAAGCATGCGCACACATGCCCACACACACGAGCACACATACACACATGCGTGTGCACACACACTCGTGCACACACCCAAGCATGCACAAACGTGTGCTTGCACACATACAAGCACGCGCACACACACACAAGCATGCATACAGACGTGTGCTCACACACACGCACAAAAGCAAATGCACACACACACACACACACACACACACACACAAGCACGCATGCGCCGTAGCCCGCTGAGTTCTCCAACCCTGTTTGTTCAGTTTTAAAGTCATGATGATTGGAGCTGGAGCAATAGCACAGCGGGTAGGGCATTTGCCTTGCACGCAGTCAACCCAAGTTCGATTCCCAGCATCCCATATGGTCCCCCGAGTACCTCCAGGAGTGATTCCTGAGTGCAAAGCCAGGAGTAACTCCTGAGCATCGCCGGGTGTGACCCAAAAAGCAAAATAAATAAATAAATAAATAAAAGTCATGATGATTGAGGGGCTGAAGCCCTTGTACAGCAGGCAAAACCAAGTTCAACCTCCCCCTCCTACAGGGTCCCTGGAGCCCACCAGGAATAATCCCTGAGTGTTTGTTTTTGTTTGCTGTGTCAGCAATAAACCCTGAGTACATGTTTGCAAAGCCAGGAGTGTACCCAAAACAAAACAAAACTGTGATGTGGTGATTGTGGGACTGATTGTGGGACTGATCTCAGGCACTGTAGGTGCCGTGAGCACTACAGGAGTCACCCCCAAGTGCCAAGCCGGGAGTCGCCCCTGAGCATGGTCAGGTGTATCCCCTGGTGAAAACATGGCACTATAAGCCCGTTTCTACACACTGGCTGGCCTTCCGCCGAGCCGCCTGGAAATCGCGCGCTCTCGCCAGGCCTGCAGTGGGCGGGTCTTGCTGCTAGACACGCAAGCGGGGAGGGGGGTCACGGCTCTGCCCAAGAGGGGCCCCCCGTTCCCAGCCCGGCCTCCCCACGTGTTGTTTTTCTGGCAGGGCTATTCTGGTGTTTTTCTAACAACTTAATATGTTCCCTGCAGCCACTCCCTGCCTTTGAATGCTGCTTTTGAAGCTCCCACTAGAATGTGCGAGCTTTAAATGGGTTCATTGTGGCTTTAATCTCTGCTCTGGTGTGGGGCTGGGTTGCCGTCCAACCACTCGCCTTTTAGTTTTATAAAGCGAGGCGTGGGAGGGGCCCCACAGCTCCCAGGGTTTCAGATGGCCCCTAAGGGCGGGCTCGGGAAGACCCTTTGGGTCTCAGGACCCCCAAACCCCCCATCCCAGACTGCATCAGATAAAATACACGAGGGACAGTGGAACAGAGGGGACTGGGGTGGGCCTC